CTCCTGGCGGCGGCACCAATCTCTAACCTTTTGTCGTGTAGGTATCCCACCAACTTTTGGTACCTTCCCACCAACTTCGAGTTGTTTGCCTTTCCCATGGATACACGTTCGTTTCCCGCCAATCTTCGGTTGGTTGCGATGGATACTCAGTTCCTTCTTCCCAACTCTCGGTCGGATATTCGGTCCCTTCCTGCCAGCTTTCAGTTGTTGTGTTTGTCGCTTCCCACCAGCTGCGAGTTGGTCTGTTCCACCAGCTGCGAGTTGGTCTGTTCCACCAGCTGCGAGTTGGTCTGTTCCACCAGGAATTTTCAGTTGTTGTGTTTGTCGCTTCCCACCAACTGCGAGTTGGTCTGTTCCACCAGCTGCGAGTTGGTCTGTTCCACCAGTTGTTCCACCAGGAATTTTCAGTTGTTCTTGTTTGCCACCAGTATCTGGTTGGATTCCACCAATTTTCTGTCGTATACGTATCCCACCAATATTTTGTTGGACGCCACCATCTTTCCCTGGGCTGCCAATCTATTCGTATGGAAATAATCATATATAAATCATACCAAATTTCGAATAATAATGCCATCGTGAAATCAGGGCCGGAACTACTGGGGGAGGTGTGGAGATTGGGTGTGTAACACCCCCAAAGTATAGTAAAAAAGGGGGCCCAACTTGCGGAGAGGGGCCCTGGAATGCTGGAATTGCGGAACGTGTTAAATATTAATGAATTTTCTGGAAAATTGAGGTCGAGAAATGCCTGAAAAACTACATTAAAGCCCCCTTTATGTAAAACTATTGTTCAAAATTTTTTTGGGGACGTTTTGTGAGGTGTCATTATCAGACAGAAAGTCATCATCAGACAGAAAGGAATACAATACTTAGTACTTCATATCAACACCAGCCCCCTCTCCCTCCTCCTCCCCCCCAAAAAAAATATGGCAATAAAGAAATTGGGTGTCAAAGAAGAAATAAGTGCCAATCTCGTAAACAAAAGATATTTTGAATAAACATTTTGAATGAACTTACAAACTTTAAATATTTGTGTCAAGTAGTTGTGCCATTCAAATGAGTGAATGATTAAATTAGTTATTAGCTTCTGCATAATTATTTACTGTAAATTATTAATAAGTAATAGTATTGTTTCTCGTGTATAATTTTGAAAAACTTCAAAAAACCGTTCAAAACTTTTTCGATTCAAAGACCTCGAATTGGACTCGTGCAATTTGCGGGTGGCGAATGGGCCATGTATTTGCCGCGCTTGATCGTGCGCAAACACGCGTGGACGACTATATAAATAAGTAATTAGGCTGCGCAGTATAGTCTACCAACCTTCTGTTGTAGTATTTGCTTCCCAAGGATATTCAGTCGCCTCTTCCCAACTTTCGGTTGTTGACCTAGTGCTATTGTCGTTGTATTCCCACCACGGGCTTTCAGTCGTACGCCATGGGTCCCAAGTGGAACGATAGGGATTAGGTGTGGTTCTCCAACGATTCCATCTGAAATGATGGTGATGATGGTGGCGATGATGGTTTGGGCTGACTGCTCGGCTTATTTCTTTGGAGGACAAAAAATACATTCATTTAGGAGAGATTTTTATATTTTGCATAAGACGGATTGACCAATTTTGCTACTTTAATTTAGACGTAGCGAAAACTTGTCAAGGAACATTCGCTCGTCTATACTCAGCATATCAATGGCGCCATAGTATTGGATCAGATTAGCGGCCATCACGATCCAATGATCGTAATGTTCCTTTATCTTTTCATTGTTTTGAAAATCCCACTGTTCTCCATCCAATGGAAAAAAATTGCAAAAGTTATATTACGTACTTTTCAAAGTGCCTGAGATAATATCTCCAAGAGACGAAACATACTAAAAAAAATGAAGAAAAAATGTCACAAAAATTATTCAACTCCCTGTTATCGAACTAGATCAAATTTAGAGAAGTACAACATGAACTGTTACCTTTCTCACAACTTCTGTGGAATTCGAATTGGACTCATTGACCGCTCCCTTCCATCCTTTAAACGAGACAAGATGAAAGTTTTAGAATATTTTACAGGGCCCAGGCCCTCAAATTTTACATGCATGCTGCTATGGAGTGCGTTACGTCACTGTGAGGACACTGAGCCAATTTTAAGGTGCTTAATTAAGACACAAAATTTCACTCAATCTGTTGTTGGTTGCATTGCAAAGATCACTCAGTTAAAATGACTATAACACCTCTTTGGTAGAATACTAGTAGCTTTCTTCCTTCCCGAGATCATAGCCAATTGAAGGAAGATGGCTGTGAAACTCATTAGAATAACAATATAACAATATAACTCCTTATCTATGTCAGTCAACGTTTATTCATAAATCTGCGTACAGTCGCGTGTGTGTTGTATTTTTGCCAAATCCACCAATAGCATTTCCAGTTTACCCTATTGTTCGAGTCTTTCCTAAACCAATATTGCTATTGCTTAGTTGGGCAAAAATACAATACGCGCACATGACGGTGAAGGACCAGACTTACGAATAAACGTTGACTGACATAGATAATGAGTTATATTGTTATTCTAATGAGTTTCACAGCCATCTTCCCTTCGATAGGCTATGCCGAGATATTCAGCTTTGTTTGAAATGCAAATATCATCAGTATGACATCACACTGCATAACGAGTTAATTCTATAACAGAGTGTCCATTGCAAATGCTGTAATTTTGATTTGCTACTCTACTCGCTATCTATTTTCGTTAAAGAGCGTAGCAAAGCAATCATTTCCCTGGCGCATTTAAAAAAAATGTGATATTTTATGGAATACTGTGGAATATTTTACGTTTGATCTCTGGTACTACTAAAACAATCAGATTTCTTGCTCTCGATTTCTATGAGGTGATAGTTGATATCTATCACCTCATAGAACTATCCCCTCATAGAAAACCTCTATCTATCATCTCATAGAAATCCAAGCTCGTAATCTAACTTGTTAATTAGCTTGTGTCAACTGATACTGCTGTAACTGACTCGTTTCCTTTTAAGTTTTCCACGCGCTCGCATTTGCGTGTGTCTCGCAATATGTCTCGCAATATCTCAAACCTCACTCGCTCTTGGTATTGCTTTGACTTTTACATTTGTTTTAAATTTTTGTTTTAAATTTTCAAGCAATTTCTCGAGCTCTATTTCCAAGACCTTTAGAGACAACTGGGGGACGAGTCAGCTGCTGTAACCAAAATAATGGACTGGTCTCTTTATAAACTTTCAAAGTGTTGAAAGATTGAATTATTAGAAACAGATGGTACCATTGAATGACCCGGTCACTGTTCCAAAAATACATTGCATTGACGTAGCAGCATTGACGACAAAAGCACTCTAGGAAGGTCATTGCATTGTAATCATTGACAATATCATTAGTGTCACTGAAATACTGATGAAAATTTGGGATTACGAATCGAATTGAGCCTTGCAATGTCTACAAATTCAGTCTGATGTTTCCACAAACCAAAACAAATTATATTAAATTTACTGCCGTGCAAAGATACAAAGAATTTACCACGCAATATTACCTTCTAAGAACTTCCTGAAAAGTGGCATCCCATTACTTTCCGCAGCGAAGACGCAAAGCAGCTAAAAAGATGAGGAAGCTTTTGTTGCAAAATTGAAACTTGATGATGATTTTGGAATAAAATCTAAATATCACAAACTCAGTCTCGTCTTACTTAAATGCGCGTATAGTACTATAGTGCATTAGTGCAAATTTATTGAGCCAAGGTTACCATTTCTATAGCGCGAATATTCACGTGGATATGGTCAATGCGTTTTACATCAAGTATAGGCTTAGGTAATTACATATTCTAACTTAGCGCAGACTATTTTATCTTTACAACAATACGTGATATTACTTTGAATTCTTAATTAACCGTGTTTATCCTAACACACCCTGTAGACTTTCCCTGTGGGAGGAAACCGGAGCACCCGGAGAAAACTCACGACTTTCGGCAGATCGTTGACAGACTCTTTTCAGATGAGTCCATAACGAAAATTGAACCCGCGATCTCAGAGACGAAAGGTGCTTGCTCTGACAACTGCACTTCTAACTGCCTTACTCAGTACAAAGGTATATACAAGAAAAGGTTTTACGTAAAGAAATAAAAGCTCGAATAATTAATAGAACACCAAATAAATATGTATATAATGTGTGCTATACACTGACTTACTGCTAGTTACTTGGGGGATGAGGTGAAATTTTCAATTTTGGAATGGGGAACTCCTTCACTTTTTGTTTGTGGAATATGAAATTGTTTGTTTACTGCTCAATGGAATGAGGAATTTTTTTTTAAACATGACGTGGAATACGAAATTTTTAAATGTTTTTTCAACCTCAGTTGTTTGATGTTTTGTCAAATTTCCCTTGGGAATACGGGATTTTTAAGCTCGAAAATTTCGTCTCATCATCAGCGGAAAATTTGGCGGCAGATTAGTCCGGTTAAAAATTGCTGTTGCAGCAACATTTTGCGACCGGAAAAGAATTATACAATTGCTAATGCAGCAGATTTTGTGGCAGATATGGGGCTTTAGTGTAATTGTCAGAGCAAATTCCTTTTGTCTCTTGTGAGATCGTGCGTTCGATTCTCTATTTCTCTCCATGGACTCATGTAAAAGAGGCAGTCAACACTCTGCCGAAAGTTGTGGGTTTTTTCCACAGAAACATAAATAGATGGTGACGACACAGTGGCACACAAATTTTCACTTTTGCGTGGATAATTAACATTTAGATTTTGAAAAATTGTGCTTAGAAAGACCTTTTCTGCGCGCAGGAAAGATTCCAGTCTAGGAAAATGTTCATTGGGTAGCAAAAGGCGCGTTAAGATGCTATTTAATGCGTCAATAATTTATCGAGCCTATTACTGTCGCAATTTATGCTAAAATGTTTATGAATTATTATTTGAAATTTTTATTTCAACTTTTTAAACTTACCAACGCGAGGACTGCCCAAACTCTCATATCTTTCTGTTTTCTTGAGGTAAAAGCTAAATTTGGTTTTCGCAAAATGTAGGACCGTCCAGACTGTCGACACAACCTCAAATGGAACTACATTACATCTCCGTGTTTGTAATAACCTCAATTCCGCGTCTTCTGATTGGCTAGAGTTTACAACTACATATAGAATTTCGCGCTGTAGATAACCCCGACATCGATTATTCAAGAAAACATTAATATTCTCGCTGATGCGGGAGGATAGACGGCGTACGGACGGACGGATGGGAGAGTAAAATGCGGACGGACGGATGAGAGTGTAAATGCGGATATGAAGGTATATCCACATAAATAAACATGCTTGTAAGCGTTTGCGCGTCAGGAAAAGATACCAGTTTCATGCTTTTAAGGTGTATTGAATTTAAACAATTCTGAGATGGCATGAATGGCCCTGGGTACGAGATTGCATTGATAAATCAAACGTTTACTTCTGATGTTTGGAAACGTAACTGTATTTATCTCGTCTGTCGTCATCTTTCTTTGCGGCTTACTGAACTAAATATGTTTATCCGTTTATAAAGCGATGAGATTTACCATCGGCTTTGTGGCATGTGAGGGCAAAATAAAATCCAGTTTTTGACAAGTCTCAAGTAAGGCATTTGCTCTTTCAAACTGTCACTGCGAAGTAGCGATATAAAAAATTATCATAATGAAAAAGCCACAAAAGTAATCATGCATGGGCGTGAAGGAGTTTGCACATGTGATACATAATCATGTCGTTTATTTTTAAAATTACTTCGACAATGAACTCCTAAGATGGTTCGTTTTTAAGACATCTACATCATTCGCGTCCGTGTTGTATCGGATATACAAACTCTCGCCTTCGGCTCGAACTTGAATCCGTCAAGGATTATCTTTAGCAAAAACACTAAAAATAAATTATTAAACTCGGAGAAACATATATACTGACATCATATGTGTCGTTTGCTATTTACTGGATCGAACGCGGAAAAATTGGCCGTTCAGAAAGACCAGTCATGAATTCTGCACCAAAAATACAAATACCACTCGATATATATACTTCATATCTGCATTTTACCCTCTCATTCGACTTCCGTCCGTCAGCATTCCCCCATCCGTCCGTTCCGTATTTTATTCTCCCATCCATCCGTATTTTACCCTCGCATCCATCCGTATTTTACCCTCGCATCCGTCCGCCGTCTATCCGTCCGCATCCGCGTTTTACCCTAATCCTTTTGTTTGTACAAGATACCTATAAATTACTTCTCATTCGACACAGTGATACTTGACCTTCAAAGACACCATTCAACTGATCACGCAATACGTGCGCAACTTGGGAGTGAAAACTGATATACAGAGAGAATGAATGTCAGGGTCATGTTAGCCTGCGTGCATGCAGTTGCCGTGCATCGCGCGTGCACAAACGCGCGTAGACGGCTTTCGGATTTACATTGAACTCACTACAATTTTATATTAATTATTATATGTATCCGTGCATCGGTTATTAGCACCATGCCAGATTTCTTGCTCTATCCAGTGAGCTCTATATATATATGGAGCTCACTGGCTCTATCCAGCATTTTTCGCAGCTGCTCTTGGTTAGGTCTAAAAATCTGTAACAGCTTATTGGATCTGACAGAGCTAACCAGGGACGTCGCGAAGCCATCAACATTGGGGATGGGAGGGAGGTCAAAAAAATTTTCTGCACTAACATAGGCCAGGTGATCTCGTGTTCGTATTTTAGCCAATCAGCACTCAGAAAGGGTTGTCCGAATAGAAATCCATTTTGATGTATTCAGTCAATTATATCTTTCGTTATTCTTTATGAAACTAGTTGAAATTTTGTAATTATGTTTGGTTATGAGAACTATAGCTCTGACAAAAATATGGAATCGAAATAAAGTATATTACAGGAGATATTCAGTTGTTTTAATCATAAAATGGATTTCTATTTGACAACTAGTGCCAGTACTTTTCCGCGTATCAAGATCACCTGGTAAGCATAGTCAAAAAAAATTTTCCGGATTAACATAAGCATATTCAAAAATTTTCGACCAAGATAAGTAAGGCTTCCAATTTTTTCATCGCAAACATGACAAAAGCTTTAAAATTTTTAAAATTGCGAACCATTTCATAACTTTGGGCAACATCAACCATCTTTTATCCCAAACTTTTACCAGTTTTACCTTAAATTTTAAGCAAATATCGGTTCCATTTTGACCAACTTTGAGCAAATATTAGTTCCATTTTGACCAACTTTGACCAACGTTTGAATTATTGGGGGGGGGGGGTGTTACACCAACACCCCCCACTCCCACCCCCTATAGCAACGTCCCTGGAGCTAACGTCGTATGGATAAAATTTGAAAAATTCGAGTAATGTTAAATTTAGCATGATCATGAGTATATTATTAAATATTTGTCGATATCCATAGCAATATATCAAATATTTGAACAACAAATTCGTGCAATGTTCACAATTTCCACCCAAGGAGTCTGGTACGAGTTGGCCCCACAAAAAGCCAATAAAGAACCTTAGACTTTACTATGAGAATGACTACGAGATTAATTTACTTGGATACGCCATATTCTTATGCCATCTTTCTACGCCATCATATATACTGATGCCTTGTAAATCCCGTAGCCGCGTGGCAAGCTGATTTTTGTCTCGTAGTAAAACAAAGAAGTACTGCGAGATATGGCGTGGGCAACGTAATGGCGTAAGAATGTTCGTGCAAACAACGAATCTAATAACCCTTACACTGCTAATAACTAGTGCCAGACATAAGCATTGCCGAGCGGGGGCGGGGTAGGGGGAGAGTGGAATCAATGTATCAGGACTGAATTGTATAATACATATCTGAATGCATGTCAGTAAAAGCTAGCTATCATCATATATGATCAGAGCATACCAAAGCATAAATTGGTTTTATGAAAATCCAATAAATATTAATGTGCTCTATTCGAATCGAGAGGATTAATTTATATTTTTCTCCAAATTTTGTCTATCGGGGTTCTCTTGATCTAGAGGTTGTAACCAGTACTGACAATAACAATTGTATATTTTAAAGTTCCTTGCATAATGTAATTATAATTTATTGAGTTTTATTTTTGAAACCATTACTAAAACCGCAATATATATCAATTGTAATCGTAGTTTATTGCGAGCCACACGATACCTAGAACTTTATTAACTTTAAAGTTTATTTTTGATCGCACTAATAACTCTTTTCAAATCGCCTCTTGTTCCAAAGTGTTAATTTGCGGGGTGTCACAACCTCTCGTGCGTGCATAGGCATGTATTCATATGTTAATAGCGTTCAGTTTTTCATTAAGGCATAAAATGGGCTTTTTTGAAACAGCGGTGTTTTTGGTTGCTCTCTGAGCCGTGCAAAAATGACATGTAATCAATTTGTTGCAAAGTAAATGTTGATTTCTGCAAGGTCATGTCGAAATGGCAGACAGTTTTAAAATAGGTACGCGCTGCGTGCTATAGCAACTTTGTTGCATGTCTTGAATGTGTTGAAATTTATGGCTATAATTTTAAAACTGGTCATAATAGTATACTTTGCAGTATACTCCTGAAACTGCACGAAAATTTCATCTGCAGTATTAATTTAGTACTTCATGCTATACAACCTCAAGGAAGAGGGATTAAAATCATGTGAGGGCATATGGTTTTTTAAAAACTTAACTTTATTTAGATAAAGGATATTGCTATTCAGATTGAACTGTCTTCTTCAGTAATATACTATAGGAGAAACCCCATTATATGCAACATCAGGAAACAAAAATCTAAATTGTGCTAATAACGTGTGCTTGTGAATTTGATTTGCAAGCTTTCAGTCAAAATTTGCCGTCCATACTGTGGCCGATGCTTTTAATTAAAAACGGCATATGTGAAAAACCAATTAACGGGACAATCGACAGTTTCCAAAGTAACAAAATAAGTCAAATGCGAAGGTCAGAAAAAAATGCTAACTAAAAGTCTTAAATTGACCTTAAATGCCGGGTAAATAGGATAATCCTCATCTTCTATTTATAGATATAGCGGTAATACTGCGGATTGTGAGGGATGCAAAAAAATACAAGGTCTACTAACCGGACGAACGACAATCGCTCGAATCGTCGAAGTTCTGTTTATCCGCTGCATCTCTCGCAATTCGCCGGCAGTTATATCTTATTATCGTCTCTACTCAGTCTACACACGTAAAACGCACAAGTTGTAACAAGTCTGCAAACAAGTTGTTACACGTCTGTTCACAAGCTGTCAACAAGTTGTGCCCGCACTGTTTGTTCCCAGTTTGTTGTAACAAGTTTGAAACAAGCTGTTAACAACTTGTAACAAGCTTGATGGCATTATCAGCCTTGTTACAAGATTGTGCTAACAAGTTTGTTACAGCCATGATATAACAAGGATGTTACAAGGTTGTCAACACAAGGTTGTAACAATCTTGTTATATCAAGCATGCCACAGACTTGTCAGAACAACCTTGCAACAAGTCTGATAATTTCAACAAGGTTGTTACAAGTTGTCAACAAGTTGTTCCAAACCTGTTGACAACTTGTGACAAGCACTGGTGCGAATACATCTTGTTAACAGCTTGTGAACAGACTTGTAACAAACTTGTGCGTTTTTTTACGTGTGTACACTGGCTGCATGGCATGCACAGACCAAACCGCACGACATGCAGGTCGACAGCATACTGAAAATCCATATAATTGCAGTCAAGCATGCTAAAATAACTATTTGTGATATTCACTGGTATTATGCACAGTGATCCGATTGTCTCAATCCCTGATCAATAGACTGTATAGACAAAAGAGAGGAAAAACCCCCCGCTTTGTGACTATATCGATGGCGATGCGAATGCGCGTTATGCAACCAAACTGTGCTTGAAGCCGTCTCGCTGTGAGGTTTCGGCTCACGAGTGAGCCAGTGCTGTGAGGTAAAAAGGTCACGAGTGAGCCAGTTTGATTTAATACAATACCGAAGTTTCTAGCAGCTCAAAATCATATTGTGCTTTATATCAAATACAAAGTGACCGAAGGCTATCTGGTTTAAACTCAAAATTGAGTGCAAAGATACAATTTCGTTCAGATCAAAGTCTAAAGTGCGCTAGTTAA